TTAGTCATCAACCGACTGAGTTGTTGAAGTCTAGCTACGACTCTAGGGTTTGACCTTTCGCCTTGTGGAAGGTTTAAGGTTCCCTAGATAAGGTATTTGGTTGGATAGGCGACAAGGGCCCTCCATAAAAATTACGTGTCGCCTTCTCTTAAGGACACAGTTGTAGTTCGAAAAGATGTAAGGAAGAGCTGGTGTAGTACATTAAATGGATCGAGGTGTACCTCACCTCACTAATTGGTGATGGCTCAATAAGGAATTGGAGAAATGACGCCAAAGGTACACGTCATCGGATTGTACGGTACTGCTTCTTTTCTCTACTCCTCGCACAACAAGGTCTTCTTGAGCTTCTCAAACTCATTCCGTTCCTACAATTGGAAAACTGCTTAAGCTTTGACATTGTTGTCTGCCTGTGAAAGTGATCAGAAAAATGAGTGGTCAAAAAGGTTCCGATTACCTAAATGGGTGGTGTGGTTAGTACGACCACGAGCTTACTGTTCTAATGTAAAGCTTACTCATAAGCTTCCATGATTCTAGTTTCTTCGGCTCAAGTAGCCACTGTAAATCAGTTTATCAGTAGCGCCGCTAATTAACGCGCTTAAGATATTTTAATATTGTTCGTTACCCTAAAACTGTGAACCGGCATTTTTGGCATAAAGGTATAACTCCCAGATACTAGTACCTGTGTCCGATATCAAAAATCATACCATTGAATGCTAGTCAACGGTCTCTGGATATCGGACAACATCATTAATTAGTAGCGTCACCGTAGGCTGATTACGGGTTAGAGCTCGTTCGGTACTAAGCTTCAGGTGATTGGAAAGGAACTGGTCGAGTGAAGTAGTTTGTTGATTCTAGGATGATTTGGTTACTGCTTTTGGGATTCCTGTTACTCCTAGTGTATAACAACTCATACTCGTGAGCTTATACTCACTCAAAAGATGAGTACAACATCAAAAAGAAATCTGGGAATTAGCGTTAGTTGGAAAGTCCCAAGGCTGGAAAAAGAACTTAAATGGAAGTCGATCTTCTTCGTGAAGATCCAGAATGGTCACTAGTACGTTTGAAGATATTATTGTCATAGGGGACCAAAATTGATTGTCCCTTAAATGACCTTCTGTCGAGTGCTACTACTTTAGCACCAGGTTGTTGTTCAAGACATTTCTAGAATCTTAACGAAGTAAACTTCGTAGGAATTCCAATAGATAGTATACCAATAGGTTATATCGAAGAAACAAAACCATTTATGGTTTCCTAACTCGAATGGTTGGTAAAAACGGTGGAAGAAAAGTGATAGGATTTATCGGTAAATCCTTGGTGATACTTAACCCTTGATGCATTAGCCCGGCTGAGAGGCTAGCAACTCATTCCCCAAAACAGAACTTTCCTTAGTAGGGAGGTTCGTCGTTTACCGTCTAGGGGCAATTGCCAAAATGATTTTCCAAAACGACGACAAGTCGTCTAAAGTACCCAAAACTTAGGGAAAAGTTAGCACCTTTTTCGTGCTCGACGAGGTGGCAAGATTCAACACTTAGTTTCAAGAACCACGAATGATTACATCACACGTGTGATGAACGCAATACTGACTAAAATTAGGTTTTGATACCAAACCGACACACCCCGACCCAGAATGTCCACTTGGACTCCGAATCGAGTTGTGTTGGCCGACACCTGGGGGGTGACGAAGCCATAAAGTGTAGTGTAGTGGAAAAAGGATGTGAATAAATTTAAAACTAAAAGTGCCTAATCAAAAGAGTGCGCGTGTGAGCGAGATTGAACCCATTTCACATGTGATGTCAGAGCATAAGACAGTATAGTAAATAAGATGAGGGTTATACCACTGAAGATAACCATCTCCTAAGATTTGCCAGAATCCTCATTTACACATAAACACAGTTACTAAACCTGGAAGGGTGAAAAACAAAGTTGAGTGGGTCAGAAAATAACGTTTTGTAAATTTTTTTCAAAAACATTATAACCCTTTGTCATAAAATCAAGTATAGTTTCCAAAATATATATGTACTACGTATAGTAAGAAAATACTTACCGTAGCCTGCAAAGTCTCAAGAAATCAATAAGGCAAAGCTATCACAAATAAGCATAAGGTGACCAATATCACATAACCTCGTAATATGTAAACATAATATAACAAATGCTCATTGACACATGCTGACACGCGAGTCGAAGTGGCCTAATGCAACCTGTACAACAGGACTGGGTGTAATAAATGCACTTTAGTACTACAATCATGTGAAGGCTGGCACTGAAGTGTGGTCACATACGAGTCAAAATTACCTAATGTAATATGTATAACATGACTGGCACCTAACTTAGATCCAAGGTGAGTGAGCGGTGCGGATGTGAACATACATGTGAAAGACTGGCCATGGACCTGGGCGGAGTACTAAATCGGGGTGCATCAATGATAAGCAAATGACATAAATAAAATCGTGCCATAAAGATTCGATAGCTCTAATCAACATAGTAATAATCACAGCTGTAAATATAATATCATGGTATCTCGTGCATACCTATGAACTTATAAAGCTCAGAATAATTCCCTAGGTTTAGTCATTTCACTACTTCATGTAATTTTAGTCCAAGCAAGGCATACGTAGTAAATTCTTTTCAAAGTATAACTGGAAACTAGTAAGTATGCATATACTTATACAAAGAAATGACCCACTCATAGATACGCAATCGAAACGAAGCCTCTGAGCCTTGCTTGGCCTCGTACGCCCTCGGGATACGTTTCCCTTATATGTGAAATTGCTAATTAACTTAGTTTAATAACACATAAACAAAAACTTAAATAAAACCTCCGCAGATTACTTAAACATAGGGTTTGAATATACGAAATCAATCTACTCAATGTCACGGACCTACTCAAATTGACAGAAGGTCAATCGGAGGCAGGACGAGCCGCCACACACCGGCTAGGGGAAGGCCACACGCGCGACCAAGCGCAAGCCAGACCCTAACGTCTATGAGGAATATTCCATCAAAATGACAGAGTTTAACGGCATTACCTGACGCTGTTAGAATATTCCATTGTCTTCTCTAAGGGTCGTTGTCAGTCGTCGCCATCCACCATCGTCTGAACTTGCTGGAATTTGGAAAATTTCACCAATTTCTAGGTAAAATTTCAAACATTCATATCTTCTTCATTTCTCAACCATTTTTCACAAAATTTATATGGAAACGAAGCTTATGAAGTGTAGAACCAGTTTATACCTTTTGGAAGTCCAAAAATAGACGAGAAAAGGCCTGAAATTGGCTCGAAATGTTCAACCAAAAACTCAACTTTAAACCAAGTTGTTTCACGTCAAAGCTTCCCCAAACCTTCACTAAAGACCTCGGGGAGTTGAGTGGAGGCCTTTAGACTTTCTAAAAACTCGTAACTCATTCGCAACTCGTCAGGGAAAAATTGAGCGTTCAACGTCCATAACTCGGTCAAACCACAATCCAAGGGCACGGTTATGTTCGTGGTGGTGAGACGAGTTTGAAGGTGTGGTTTTCAGGTCACATTTGTAAGGTTTGGTGTCTAATTGAAGGAGTTGCAGAGTGAGAGAGGTTTCGAGTTTGGGAGAGAGAGAAGGAGAAGAGATAGAGAGAAATGGTGCTCTCTTATTGGGTGAAGGATTTGATGGTGATGATCTGATTGGTTGCTTTCAAATGAGGGAAAGCAATTGACTGGGTGGTGAGGAGGAATTCAAGGAAAAAGCAAAAGTTTGAATGGTGGATGGTTGTGAAGGAAGGGGACCGGATCCACCAAGTAGGGAAAGGATGGATTTTGTACAATTTTAAATGTACAAAATTTGTCCTCTTGACAGTGTTCTGACACTACAAATTTGTACACGCATGAGCAAATAAACCCGTAGTTAACGTACTTTAACAGAGCGTAACGTTTTCGTTACAAATTCATTTCGGGTCTAAATCACGTCCACACGTTCGTGACAACGAGTACTAATTTAGTAGGAAACCAAGAAAATGAAATTGAAAGCTGAAAACCACGTCCACGTCATATTCCACTTTTGTCCAAAAATGGTAAAATCGTCAACTCACCCTAATGGAAAATAAATCACAATGAAAAGTAGGGACGGGTCATCACAGTTGCACTTCCTACCCTTACTCAAGAGCAGCCACAAACCATTTATAAAGGATAATACTTGGTTACTCACTAACGATTACTCTATTTTTTCTTTTGTCCAATGATATTTTAGCATGTTTGATTGTTTTAAAAATAATGGACATCTTATGCATTTATCTTGAACTTTAAAAAATAAGAAACACATGACATTTTTTTGTTGAACTTTAATCAGAAAATGAGTGCTTAGTACTAACTAGTGAGTGCATAAGTATTATTGGTTTATATGAAACCTAAAGCAGCTTTAAGCTAAGGGCCGTATGCACGTACGGTACAATATGAGATTTGCAAATCAAAGGGTTTTCTCTAGAAGCTTGGCTAATGTCATTTCTTCATGTCACATTTTTATCCTTCTCCTCTGATGGCCCATGAAAGAGCAATCCCTACGTACATACCTGATACCTCACTATCTGTCTTTTTGTCGCGGTGGTTGCACAAAAGGAAGGGGGAAGAGAGAGAGAGAGAGCGAGAGAGAGAAAGAATGGTCCATGGCTGTTTAAGGGGTAGTTTTCTAAGGAGATTTTAAGGTCGAGGGTCTCAGTTGTGGATGTAAACTTGCGCCCTACACCATAGCTAGTTTCCAACACTGTCCTATATGTGGGACCCCTTGTTGATGCCCACATCCATGGACCCCACGTCTTTCCACTTCTGTGTAATGTAAGGTAAGTGGCTCTTCTCATAACATAGTGAAACAAACCCTACACTTTAAAAAAATCATGTGTACACGTGTCCCATGAGGACCAAATGCTTGAATTTTTTTCATGTATATTCTCACCCTCCTCGCCCAAAAACGTATATATATAGTCCTACCCACATTGTTCTTTGCGTACAACTTTGTTGTTATTACCTCCTCTCTCTCTCTCTCTCTCTCTCTCTCTTCTTCAGTATTGCTCCATCGTATCGTTTTAACTACTTTATATTTTTTTGGATTCTTCAAAAAAAGATTTCATACACCTTTAATATTCGTTAATCAAAATGGCCCCCGAAAACATGAGCATATCTGTAAATGGGCAATCTCAAGTCCCTCCTGGTTTCAGGTTTCATCCAACCGAAGAAGAACTCTTGCAGTACTATTTGAATAAGAAGGTCTCAAATCAGAGGATTGATCTCGATGTCATACGTGAAGTCGATCTCAATAAGCTTGAGCCATGGGATATACAAGGTACATATATACATATACATATATATATGTATGTATGTATACAATAAGACGTATACATCTAAGTAGCCATTTTATATTTGAAACTAATTGATTATTCATATGAAACAAAGTTTTTATAGTAATGGGATTTTTGCAGAGAAGTGTAAGATAGGAACTACACCACAGAATGATTGGTATTTCTTCAGCCATAAGGACAAGAAGTACCCGACTGGAACACGAACAAATCGTGCAACTGCTGCCGGATTCTGGAAGGCAACTGGCCGTGATAAAGTGATATGTAGCAACTCCAGGCGGATCGGTATGAGGAAGACCCTTGTGTTCTACAAAGGCCGAGCTCCCCATGGCCAAAAGTCTGATTGGATCATGCATGAATATAGACTCGACGACAATAATACTAGCAATTGCAATATCACTAATGTAAGCCATTTTCAGTTCCCCACAATTATTTTTAATGGGAAATGATTTTCACATGTTCATTTTTTTCTCCATGTAGACGTTCCTTGTTTTCTAGACTACTACAAGTAATGAAATGTGTGGTTCAAAAACTGGAAATCCAACCATCTATCTGACAACAAAGGATGCTTATGCATGTATTATTCATATGATCAGGTACCCACTGTTGTGGGAGATGCAGCACAAGAGGAGGGATGGGTGGTTTGCCGAATTTTCAAGAAGAAAAACCTCCACAAAATTTTGAGCAGCCCAATCTTGAGTACAACATCCATCACAACAGAAACAAGAAGTGGCCAATCACTGTTTGATTCGTGTCCCGAGGGAGCTTTGGAGCAAATACTTCAATACATGGGGAGGACATGCAAGGAAGAAGAGAATGAAGCCTACATTAACAACAATAGCACAAGATTTAATCTCCAACCAATCAACACAGGCATTAGTAACACTAGTAATCACAATGGCTTCCATGAAAAGTTCTTGAAACTTCCGACCCTAGACAGCCCAAACTCCACAAGCAGCCAGGATTGTTACCAACCAAACATTCATGAGGGGATGATGGTCACAGAGAATAATAACAACCCGTTGAGTCCTTTCACTGATCATCACCAAAATATGGATTACCATGCACACCACATGGACTCAGGAATCACCAACTGGGCAGCTCTCGACCGCCTTGTGGCTTCACAACTCAATGGACAAACCGAGACCTCTAGGCAGTTAGCTTGTTTCAATATCACTGACCCTTATGACAACGATGATCATGATCATGAACTCCAGTTACCAAGTACCCTACGAGGACCGTTGTCTTCATCCAACACCTACCATGCCACACACGACTACAACAATAGGGAGATCGACCTGTGGAATTTCGATCGACAATCATCACCATTGTCATCCTCCGACACGCTGTGCCACTTGTCGACCGGGCCTATATAACGGAACAACCCAATATCATTTAATATCATATAAGAATGTTATCAGTCCGTCCAAGTCAGCGAAATATCTATTTACAAGCACAGTAGTATATATAAACATGTATGTTAGATAAATAAAGTTTGTTTTGGAGTTTTAAGTGGGGTGGCATTGTCAAAGTACCATTATATTCGCTTAATCACGATGTCTACTAGTAATTTTTTCACTATTCATGTCTAGAAGCGTATATATATATGGCCAAGAGTGGTGACTGTGAGTGGTGTACTACTGCTAGTCTTAGTACTGATCATTATCTCTTTCCAAACGCAATAATAATTCTCACCTTTTTTTTGTTTTTTTTTTTTTTTTTTTTTATCTTGGAAGATGATATTCAAGTTGGTGATGGACCATATAATCATCATCATCATCATCAATTAATCTTCGTGTCACGTGGCTTGTCGGTTTGTTTGTGGATATCGACCCCCATGGCTCAACTTATCAATCCTCTCGTCACTATAACGCAAGGGTTCATGTACATGATCACGACTCACTTGCTAGATAGAGAGAGAGAGAGCGTTGCCCTACTTTTAAGAAGTCAAAAGGTGATTGAATTTTTTTTTTTTTTTTTTTTTGAGAAAAAAAGGGAATGGAATCATATAGAGAGAAACGTAAGATTTGCATCTTTTGTCTCGTCATCAGAGAGGGGAAAATAAAACAAGTTGTAATGAAAACAGGTTGACGGAGAGGGAGTTGAGTGCTAATAAGTACTGGTAGGGATAATTGCTTGCCGACTTGTGGGAAAATTGTATGTTTTGACTCTTTCGCTTTGTTGAATGAAAACAGGTTTTGTCTTGGAGTATTGTCGTGTTCAAGCGATCATGAAAGTTTTATTTTTATTTTTTATTTTATTTTATTTTATTTTTTATTTTTTTACGATGTTAATTAGGTCCTATTTCTTATCTTATGCTCTTGGATTTAACCTAGCTTTGAAAGATGGAATGAAAGCTTAATTAGTTGTGTATGAAGTCCTAATAGAAAGTTAGCAAGGCTAAATCATTATTTGACATGAAGCCATATAATTAATAACTTAAACAAACTAACGTCAAATACAAATAACCTGATTAGATCGGAACAAACCTGCTTGACTAAGTAAGATTATATATACCTTTGTTCCTATGGAGACCAATATTATTTTTTACTTTAAGAGTAGTAGGTTGATGTGGATGTAAGATGAACTTAATCATAAATTCAAATACGACATGATGCATCTCTCGATTAACCCACTTAGTTTTAAGTTACCAAAACTTGGCATGGTAGAGCACTAGAAGTCTAGAACAACCTAATTTAATGCCAAACCAATTAATAAGCATTATTTCGAGAGAATATTTTTCCAAGATGAAAATTTTCCTTCAATTTAATCTATGTATTAACATTGGACCAAAGTGAGACTGACCAGTATTTCTTCATACACCAAACCAACAAATTTCCTTTTACTCTGAGCAGCTCATCATACAAATACATGTCCAATGTCCAATGATGCGCACACACGTAAACATATGGTGTGACACATGTGATCTAAAAGAGCAAAAGCCGAAAGATAAAAATAAGTTAGCGGGATTCTAGGCCATGCCACCAACCATCGTTACATTTTGAGTAGCTTTATGGACGCTACATATTAAATGATAATGACCTTCGACGTACAAACTATAAACGGTACCTTTTTTTTTTATTGCCATTGACTCATTTTACGTCTTTCCTTGCCAACCTTCCCAAACCCTATAGCCACCAAATATTTTTGTTTGTAACCTATTACCACAATTTTTTGTTTATAAGTTTGTAAGATGTCAAGTGATGGTATTAATTCATGTTGTATAATAAAAATGATTTGATAATACGATGCATTGATGATATATTCTCACTGAATTCTTTTAAACCCGTTTCAAGTCTTCCAATGTTATACACTTCACTATAAATATTAGATTGCTCCGATAATTAAAGTATATCTCTTCAATCCATTACTTCAAGCTCACTCTCCTTGGTATAACTTAAAATTGTAATTCCGCCCATTCGTTGCAATATCCCGATATTAATTAGAAGTGAAGGGATGAAGACTTATAACTCTAGTAGTAATCAATATTTGAAACTTACACCCATCTATGATAAGGAAGTATTCCATCAAAACCACGTGTATAATCAACAATGTGGTTCATTCTTCACTTATGTATTCTCAAGTTCTCTGATTCACTACTTTCCTATTGTTTAATATCCAATATTTACATTAGATATAATTTAATTATATAGTGTATTGTTCTTGTACCAGACTTTAAATTTAATGTAGGAAATTGAAATAAGTTATGGTTTTACCAAACTAATTCACGTTTCATCATAACATCAATTGACAATACAAAAAATAAAATATATAACACCAGAAAACCAGCTTTAAAATGGGGAATTCACACTCCCAACAAAAATCCTAACACAATCAATAGCCCAAAGTATGTTGCCAATGACTGACTAATGATCCTTACTGCTAGAATAGTTTTGCACCAAGTTCACCGCGTTCGACCTCATGCGTCCTAACCTGAATAATGGATATTTCTTTTTTGTCTGATGGTCCTGCATGTACTATTAATTAGTCCCAGCTGGGAGGGTGGGACAATGGGACAAATAAATCTCCAGAGAATATGATTAGGGCACAATTAAATAGTAGATCTTAAAGTCCAAAATCTATGTGTTTAAGACTCGTATCCCCAAACTATATTCGTATCTCAAGTTCTCAACTGCTACTTAAATCAATCCTTAGTCTCGCTTGTCTCTTCCATTGTCCATATAGCTTTTTATACATGCACTAATTTTAAAACCTAAAAGGTGACCAATCAACCATGACAAAGATTCAAAAAACATGAAATAGAAGTGAATGAAGACTCATCAGTAGCCCGGCACAGAGAAGGTACAACAAAAAAGGAAGATTAATTGGGGGACAAGGAACATGACATTAATCGTCAACTGGTCAGACTCAGCCTCCAGCGTAAATATACATTTACCAACTGATCGTCATCATTAATATATAAAGGAAAGTTTAAGAGAAGGGATTCCCAATTTTTTTATAAAAATGAAGATTAGATGTTGGGTTCACACCACATCGAATTTTTAACAATCCAAATCATCTAATTTTCAAGTTGCAGTTTATAGATCATCCTTGCAAAATATTAGTTAGACATCTATTTTTTATTTATTTATTTTTCTTTTTTTGTTGAACATACGATAATATCTATACTCAGGGGGAGGAGATTTGAAGCATCTAATTGACTTCAAAGAAATTGACAAACACTTTGTTCCCTAAGAAACATTGAAATTTCATCATGATAATTAAATAGAAAAATGGTTTTGGATTGAATTGAATTTTTGCAAAGATGATCTATGAGGTGCAACTTAAAAAATAGACAGTTCGGATTGTTAAAACTCGATTTGGTGTGAGCCCTTTGAAGAACCTTGTTGCGAAACACTATTCATATGATTTTTTGCTAATCAGTCAAATCAAGACTTGTACTCATTTTTACACGCAATTAGATGACCAAGATGAAGTCTACATATCATTCAATTATTCCTCATATTTTTGTTAAGAGATGCAATCAGTTCTATGATGTTGCGTGATTAGTCGATATTATGCTATATATTTTACTTTAATTTTAGTATTAATTTATTGGTTATTCTAGTGAAATTTTGATACTTTGATTTATATTTCTAATGTAGGACATTTCACTTCTTCTTGAACAAAAAGTGATCAAATAGACAAATTTTAGAGTAATTCTAATTGGAGTATGTTTGTGAGTCCCTTAGATTATTCATACCAAATTTTCAAATTTTTCTACAAAGCAGTTAATAATAAAGAAGCAGCGCAGTGTTGTCAAAATAACGTTTTGAGCTTATTTGGGCTTTTTGGCATCCAAGATGGTGTTTGTTGGGTTCGAGGCCTTCTAGAGATATGTTTTGGACATCCCAAGCTTTAAAATGAGTAATCTTGAGCCCGATTGGAAGGTGTTTTGGTTTAGAAACATGAGATTCTTTGTGCCTGTCCAAATTTCCCAAAGTTAGAATAGGAATGTATTTCCTAGTAATTTTATTTTATTATGTTTCCTAGTTTTATTCTAAGACCTTTTTTAGTAAGAATTTTATTTTGTATAAGGGTATTTAGCCATTCAGGTTCTCTACGCATCAATTTAGAGAACTCGGCTTAGAAAGCTTTTGACGATTCAATTTTATTTACAAGGTGTCTTCTATCTATGTTCTTAATAATATTTTGTTTTATGCTTGTCCGTAACTAATTTCTTTTGGTAGGGCGAGGCCACGAGCCTTAGTAAGAATATGCAATTTCCTTTCAATTTACTTATGATACTATGCATACATATTTTGAATTATTAATCACTGTGTTTAAACTATCTAATTGTCTTGAAGATTGGCGACCATTAGGATATTTAGAAAAGTAATTTGATGCAATTTTGGTTGGAAGGTTCCCTGAAATTGGCGTTGGCTTCTTGTGGTTAATAATTGTATGTTTACTTAGGATGAACACCATGTCTTAAGGGTTGCACAGTTTTTCCATGGGTTTTCATAAGGCTTAATAAGTCTTTCATGTTCACATTTGATTCGAATGTCCGGACGGGTTGCTTGTTTGATATACGTTCTAGGTTGGAGATCCAAGTAGGACATACTTTAGTAATACCTAACCTTCAAAATATGCATGGATAATTAATAAGTGATTGGAAGAGCAACATAGGATTGATAAGGTGATGGCGGAACCCTAGTGTTTTTACAAATTGATTTTCAAAACCATTTTATTTTAGTTTATTTTAACTTTGCCGATTTCTTTAATATTTTTATTAAATTCGTTTTTTTATTTTAATTTCTAAAATCAACCTTTTCCAATTTTTGTTTTAAATAATTAATTAAGATTTGGTTTGACATAATTTGTTTTAAATAATCCCTGTGCGAATGACATTGCATGAGCATTCTTACTACAACTATTTTGTTCTCTTGCAAGTATTTTTATGTGTTTTTATCTCTACTTTTGAAGGTGGTAATTAAAAATCCTATCAAGAAATTGGTTAGTTTAAACACATTGATTAATAATTCAAAACATACATGCATAATATCATAAATAAATTAAAAATAAACTACATATTCTTACTAAGGCTCGTGGCCTCGCCTTAGCAAAAGAAATTAGTTACAAACTCATAAACCAAAATATTATTAGGAACATGGATAGAAAACACAATGTAAATAAAGTTGAATCACCAAAAGCTCTTTAAGCCGAGTTCTCTAAATTGGTGCGTAGAGAACCTAATGGCTAAATAGCTCTATTTATATTACTACCAAATGAAATCCTTACTAGAAAATGTCTTAGAATAAAATTAGGAAACATAATAAAATAAGATAACTAGGAAATACATTCTTATTCTAACTTTGGGAAATATGGACAGCCACAAAAATCCCACGTTTCTAGATCAAAACACCTTCAAAACAGGCCGAACATGACTCATTTTAAAGCTTAGGATGTCCTCAACATATATGTAGAAAGCCTCAAACCCAAAAGACACCATCTTGGACGCTAAAAAGCCCAAATAAG